TTAGCCAGGCACTTTCCCATGCTGCAGTTATTCTACTAAGGAAGACATGGAGAGTGAATATTGGGTAAGGAGTCAACAGTCTTTGCAGGAGAGAGGGTGGTTCTGGGAAAAAGTGACAGAGCCACGCTCCATGCCCTCTGTGAAGAATTTCTTGACTGCATCAGCCTCTTGTGGTCACTGTGACCTCTGAAAGCCTATGGCCTTTTTTTGTCTTAGTTCTAATAATAGATACAAAGTAAAGATACTGATTTTTAATTAACATGTAAGAACTGATGTATTCAGGTGGCTACTGTCTTCTTCAAAGGGTTAATCACACAATATTGCCATTCTTAAAAACACTTTTAGAACTCAGATCTGGTAGAAACAGAAGTCTCCCTTTAGAAGGCATACAGGAAGCTGCAGGCTGTAGGCAGGGCCAGGGATGTGTTGGAAATTTGCTGACTCTGAGTGCTTCAACAAATTGCATTCTATGTCAAACTCATGCCATTCCTCATAGAAAGACCAATTTCAAATGTCCTCGCTCATATGGGGAAGCTAAAAATTAAAACAACCGAACTCATGGAGATAGAGAGTAGAATGATGGTTACCAGAGGCTGGGAAGGGTAGCAGGGAGCAAGGGGAAAAAATGGGAATGGTTAATGGCTGCAAAACTATAGTTAAATAAGATCTGGTATTTGACAGCACAACCGGGCGATAACAGTCAACCATAATTTACTGTATATTTTTAAATTGCTAGACTGGATATGTGGCTTATACTTGTAATCCCAGCACTTTGGAAGGCCGAGGTAGGAGGATCACTTGAGCCCAGGAGTTCGAGACCAGTTTCAGCACCATAAGGAGACCTCTTCTCTTGGAAACGTTCAAAAATTAGCCAGGCATGGTGGTGCATCAGCCTCTTGTGGTCACCATGGCCTCTGAAAGCCTATGGCCTTTTTTGTCTTAGTTCTATTAATAGAACTACATGGGAGGCTGAGGCCGGAGGATCACTTGAGCCCAGGAAGTCAAGGTTGCGGTGAGCCGTGATCTTGCCGCTGCCCTCCAGCCTGGGCAACAGAGCAAGACTCTGTCTCTCAAAAACAAAAATGAAACTAAAAGAGTAGAATTGGGATGTTCCTAACAAAAAGACATAAGTGCTTGGGGTGATGGACACCCCAATTACCATGATGTGATTATTATGCACCGCATGCGTGTATCAGAACATCACAAGTACCTCCGCCATAAATACCTACACGTGTTATGTCCCCATAATAATAAAAAGTAAAAAATAAAAACTTACACCATTTCTCCCCAGAGCCTTCTCCTACCTTTGCAGGAATATAAGATTATCTTCCAGGATGTCAACAGCTCTGGCCAATGGGGACCAGACTGATGAGAAGCACTGGTTTAGGAAACCGACCTTGGAAAGCTCATGGCCTCTCATAACTCAGTCATCTGTGGCCTGATCGATATCACTAAAGCATGGTTTGTACTCTGTGGTATGTCCTAGAATAAAGGTAGGGAACAATGGAGGAAAACAGGCCTGAATTAAAATGTTCTCCATGTTTCTCTCCAAAAATTCCAACTCAGAAGTCCCTTTTGCCTGATAGTGACTGCTTACAGTTCCTACCCAATGTAAACTATGTCTCCATGTGTTTTTCCCCTGGCTCTTAACTGGCCGAACTTGGGATGTTTTATCAGGGTCCGTCTGTACCTCCTATGACACCCAGTTACATCCAACCTATCCTCAGGTCCCTTCCCCAAATTAACTCTGTGGCCCACAGACTTCCAAAAGTAGGGTCAAAATTATTTTTCTACGATTAAGCCTTAATAACATCACTTACATGTTTCATCTTTTCCTGGAAGGCTACTGGGTAAAAATATTTTCATGCAGGTGCTGATAATAGTAAACACATTATATATCTTCAGCCTGGGGTTTAACCACATTCATTTCTGGGTTTGTCATATGCTCTCTCGCTATTTATACTGCTTTGGGTCAGCTACTTGATACTCAATAAAATTTGCCTCCAAGCTGTCCTGCAGGGAAAATGACCTATCTGGGGGGAATGCTGTTCCAACTCTATAACCTCTGACGATTGCCCAATAGTCCTCCAAAAAGGTTGCAGGGCAGGAGCAAGGGAAGGTCCATGCCACTTCCTGGCATTTAATGGCAACAAGTGCTTTAGTGTAAGTATAATTATATCCCCTGCTTTCAGGAGGCCTTTCCAGCCAGCCTCTCGGACACGGGAGCAACCGTAGATGGCTTGAGCAATGTGGAAATTCGGCCTCTGCTCAAGGTCAGAACAAGCCGTTCACCAGCGTTGATTTTACCAACCTTTCGGTTATTTTGGAAAGCCTAAAGAGAACGCAACAGAGGCAAGAATGGATCTATGGGATGGAAATAATGAGCCATTTATAACCCAAAATGAGACTGCCAGGAAAAACAAACACACAAAAAAGTACATTTTATCAGAGGCTTGGGCTGCCCAAGGCTATTGGGGTGCAAAGTACTGCGTGTTCAGCTCCCTGGGCCAAGAGCTACAGTAAGTCAGGCCCCCTGCAAAGCTCCTCTCCTGTCAGCCTCATCAAGCAGCCTTAGCCACCTGGTGGAGAGGACCTTTAGTGTTTTTAAAGTGTGTGCTGGGTGGATGTTTCACATTTTTGGTAAAGATGTGGAGTCATGTTGCAACACTTAAGTGCTTCTGCGTAAAACTTGCGCAATTCTGACAGGTACTGGGTTCCTCGCATCGGTGGCATCCTCCGCTCACATACGGCTTATGTAATGTGTGATCAGGCCCCCCAGGTTTCTCCTTGTAGCCTTTCAAAAAATTTCAGGCTCTGAACTTGGCCCTGGTTTCCGGCAGTTCTTTGCTCCAAAGGTGCATGGAATGGCTCAGCTGTCAGCACCTGCTGGTGAGATACAGAAAAGTGCCACGGGTTGATCTTTCTCTGGCACCAGCACAAAGGAGGCTGGCGATGGTCCCCAGATGGCCTTGGCCTGCCCTGAGGCACCCTATAGGGAAGGAGAGTGAGGGCCGTTCATCTAAGGAAGAGTAGGTCAGAGGATTGAACCGGGGCTGCTACCAGTAGGTAACAAACATGAAAAGGATTTCCCCAAAGCAAAACTTTCTAGCCAGAGCAGCAGCACAGTGAATGGTTTACTCACAGCTCCTTTGTCTGCTGATTGGAGATTTGGCGCTGTGCTTGCCTCTTGGGCTTACCTGAGCAAAGTTATACAGTAGGTCAAGTGTTTGATGCCTTCTCACCTCCAGTCACTGTACTGGCACCCGCCTCCGTGCCTGGCTTCTGTTTCCATCCAGGCTTCCATCCACTCAACAAAGCTTTCAGGCACCTGCTCTATGCCAGGTGCTGTGCCAAGTGCTATCCACCAGGCAGGGCTTTCTCAACACCTGGTGGCCCCCTGTGGTGCGCTGGGCCAGTCCTAACACGGGCCTCCTCTCCAGTGTCACTCTCAGCCCCACCATGTCCCAAAATTACCCTCCCTGCATTCATTTCCTATGACTCTTTTCCTTTCTTCAACCTTAGGGATGGGACTATTTCTTTAGAGTTTTTATCATAGAAATCCAACACATTTTGTTTCTGTAAAAGAATTGTTCTTGGTAGTCACAGATTTCTCCCTGTGGAATCTGAGTTTCTGCAGATTAAAAAGTGATGATGTGAGCTGGGCACCGCAGGTGGTGCCTGTAATCCCAGCTACTTGGGAAGCTGAGGCAGGAGGATCACTTGAGTCCAGGAGTTCGAGACCAGCCTGGGTAACACAGAGAGACCCCCCATCTCTAAAACATTAATTAATTAATTAATGCTAATTAATTAATTAATTAAAAATGGTGGCACGAAGAAACAATGTCCTCCATGGAATGAACAAGGCATTAATTGAAAAATGTGAAACAGGAAGGAACAAGGGAGTAATACATTGTCTGAGCAGAATTGCTACAATTTCACCAGGTAGACAAGTTGCCCCTTTCACCTCTCCATTTATTGTTGGTAAGCTGTATGTGTAATGGTTAAGGAGACAAATTCTGGAGCTGGACTACCTGGGGGCTCAGATCCCAGCTCTGCAGGTTATAATCTAAGAAAGCTATTGATATTTGTTTCTTAATTTCTTCATACAAAAAGAGGGATGGTAGAAATACCTGAGCACATCTCACAGAGTGGCTTAGGGATTAACATAAATTAATATGTATGAAATTTTTATAACACTGGGATGCACAGTAAGCACTCTATAAATATTAACCTTGATTTTTCATGAAGGCAACTCTATGCTGTCTACTTTGCAATCAGATTCTCAAGGCAGTTACTGCATTCGAAAGACAGAAATTGTTATTTGGCCTGCAGTTTCCACATCTGCAAAGTAGGAAGAAATGACTGAATAAAGACGTGGGGGCGGAGGCTGCATTCTGGTCTGTGATCTCCACTCGCTTCGCGACCTTGGATAACTCACTCACTCTCTCTGCATCCTGGAGATTGCACTTGATCTGAATTTCCCAAACTCAGGTCATTCAAATAACACTTAGAGAATCTTTACCATATTCCAGTCCACTCTCCTGTTCTCAGCTACTACCTTGATGTTTTCCTTTAGATAATCCTTAAATCAATTCACTTTCATATGTAGCCTCACGGGAAGCAGTAATATCCATGTATTCAAGAGTCTGATATGCTACAGATTTTTCTATTTATTTATTTATTTATTTATTTATTGTGATAGCGTCTTGCTATGTTGTCCAGGCTGGCCTTGAATCCCTGCCTGGGCTCAAGCAATTCTCTCGAGTAGTTGGGACTACAGGCATGTGCCACCACAGAGGGCGTGATACGCTGTCGATTTTTCTAATGCATGTTAACATGAATGCCTAATGAAAGTTTTAAACGTTTGTATAATACCCAAATCATCTTGCATCCTATCAGTGAGATGAGGACAACATTTCTGGAAACTCTGGATCAAATGTTCCCTCTGGATCCAGGCAACTCTAAAATCTATAATGTTATACCATGTTCATTCAGCTTGTTATTTAACTTAGGGTATGTTTCTTTATACCATTTGCCTCCTTGAGAGCTCAGACTGTGGCTTACACCTCTTTGGGCACGTAGCATGTAGAAGAGTGCTTGATAAATCTGTATTTAATGTTAAACAATAAGCACACCATACATACATACAAATATATCCATTGCCTACTCACCCCCAGACCCCATCCACTGCCAAAACGCTCGTTTCTTTCTCTCCACCTCAGTGTCACCGTGTTCCTCTAGTGGCTGTTCATAAATGAATTGAAGCATGTGGCGATCCAGGCCTTGTGTGGGCACTCAGGAAATGTCACCTTCCCTGACCCCCTTCCCTCTTCCTGTGCCTCTTTGTTCATGAGCTGCCGTTCGTTTGTCCGTGTGGAAAGTGGGCTCACTTCCCAAGGAGTTTAGAGCCCAGGCTCCTGGGTCAGAATCATTGTTGTCTTTAGTTTCAGCCCTAAAAGAGGTTCCGTTGCCAGGTCCAGAAATGTCTAATCTAAGGAAAAAAGAAAGTATACTTCTAAAAGCTATTATTAAAGAGATCTTGAAAAACTGTCTGGTGATTTCTTAAAATCCATCAGCAAAAATGGAATACACACCCACAGTATCATGACACCATTGTGGGTTTACGGTCTGAGCAATTTCACAACCAACCAGCATTTACTAAGCACCTGCTTGACCCCTCTGTGTGTCCGTAACCTTGGGAGACACAGATCTGAATGAGGCTATCTATTAGACCATGAGACTAGAAGAGACTCAAAGACTGAACACCTTGAAAGCAAGGAATATGTCTCCATCTTTGCCTCCCCAAGGGCTCAGCAAAGCATCATGCATGTGGTAGCTATGCATTAAATATTTGATCCGTAAATGAACAAATGGATGAATGGCACTGCTCCAACACTGAAGGAGCTTACAGTCTGTTTGAGAAGAAAGAAGCCATAGATAAACGATGGGTTAATTAACAATTAATTCCACATTACAAGAGAGAACACTGGCTAATGAAAATGTCTAAATGAAGGGGGTGCTGTCGTTTACTTTCCCCCAAAACACCAAATGTTGATTCAGCCGCAGGTCTCAAAAAAAAGGTGTGTTGTTCACTCTTCTGTACTTTCATTTTTCTGCACGTCAGCCGAACTTTAGAAGGAAATTGCTAGGTTGTTGTCATGTGACTGATTTTTTTAAAGTTAATTTATTTATTTATTTATTTTTGAGATGGGGTCTCGCTCTGTCACCCAGGCTGGAGCACAATGGCACAATCTTGGCTCACTGCAACCTACGCCTCCTGGGTTCAAGCAACTCTCCTGCCTCAGTAGCTGGGATTACAAGCACGTGCCACCATGCCCAGCTAATTTTTATAGTTTTGGTAGAGACAGGGTTTCGCCATGTCGACCAGGGCTGGTCTCGAACTCCTGACCTCGTGATCCACCCGCCTGAGCCTCCCAAAGTGCTGGGATTACAGGTGTGAGCCACCGCACCCAGCCCATGTGACTGATTTCTAAAGGCCACCAACCTTGTTGGCTCCTGGGAATGAGCAGGGTATTATTTAATGTAAATAAATCAGCTAGTGTTTATCCTTCCATGCATTCTTCAGTCATCCACGGGCAAAGAGAGAAGTGGCAATGATGACATTTTTAGAGCTATGAAGTTGGAATATACAAGAGAAGCTGAAAGCTTTCAATTAATGATTTCTTAGGCTTTAAGTCAGGGTGACCCTTCAACAAAAAAGGGCTTTACCCACCACTTGCTGGGGAGAGGTGCTGGGCTTTCTACACAACTCTCTGGGACTCCAAATTGTCAGCATAAAAACAGCAGCCCAAATCAATGTTCTCTATTATTCATTAGTTACCAAAATACTTTTCCCAAATATACACATAGCTGAAAGCTACCTTCTTTCAAAACGTTTTAAACCATTTTTAGCCCATGAATCTTAGTCCATCTTTAAAGGGCACCCATTTTTTTTCAATCCACATATTTCAGTCGATTTCATTGGGCACTGATACCATCACCAGCAAAACCCTAATTAATTGGGAAGAATGACATTTCCATTAAAATTCTTTTTGAAAAATGATTTATGCACCTGGCTGATAAAAATTTCAAACAGGGCAAAACAATATAGAGTGGAAAGTAAACTTCTATTGACCTCTGGAACCCAGTCTCCCAATCTTTTTCATAGAAACATCCAGTGTTAAATTTCTTGGGTATCCTTCTAGAAATAGTCTATGTATACATAAGTGCACACACACACAAGAAGTCTTTTAAAAGTTTATGGAAAATGCATATTATGAAAAACCTACGCATGGATTTTCATTTCTCTTGCACCAAAATAAACTCATACTAACCTGTTATAACATGTCTGGACAGAATCTAGTTGAGGCAGTAAGAAGGATAAGACTTCAGTTTGAAAAGCGCCTCTGTCAGAGCAACATGAATTCTGCTAAAATTGAAGCAAGAACAAACTTCAAATCTAGGGTGAAGCTTGGATGGAAGAATAGTGAAATCATTGAAACTGCACAAAAAGTGTATGGGGACACTGCCCCAAAGAAATCAACAGATTACACATGGCTAATTCATTTTAAGAAGAGATGACACAGTGTTTAAGATGAAGCCCACAGTAGCAGACCATTCGCATATATTTTCGAGGAAAAAGTTAGTATTGTTGGCTCACGTCTATAATCTCAACACATTGGGAGGCCAAGGTGGGAGGATCGCGTGAGCCCGGGAGTTTGAAACCAACCTGGGCAACATAGTGAGACCCCCATCTCTACACAAAATTTAAAAATTAGCCAAGTGTGGTGGCACAGGCCTGTAGTCCCAGTTACGTGGGAGGCTGAGGTGGCAGGATCACCTGAGCCTTGGAGGTCAAGGCTGCAGTGAACCACTATTGTGCTACTGCACTCCAAACCGGGCAACAGAACAAGACCCTGTCCCAAAAATAATAACAATAATAATAATATTGTTTGTGCCCCAATTACAGAGGACTGACAGGAGCATAAACCTAATTATAAACATAATCAGCATAAGCCTAATTATAGCCAACACCATAGACATCACAGTTGGTTCAGCTTACACAATTCTGAATGAAAAATTAAAGTTGAACAAACTTTTCACTGGAAAGGTGACAAAGTCACTGCACTCAGATCAGCTGCAGACAAGAGCAGAGCTTTCAGTGGAATTTTTAAAGAAGTGGGATCAAGATCCTGAAGCATTTCATTGAAGGATTGCAATAGGAGATGAAACACGGCATTACCAGTATCATCCTGAAGACAAAGCCCAGTCAGGGCAATGACTACCAAGAGGTGGAAGTCGTTCGGTCAAAGCAAAGGCAGACTGATCAAGAGCAAAGGTCAGGATAACAATTTTTGGAGATTCTCCAAGCATTGCTCTTGACTTTCTGGAAGGCCAAAGAATGATAACATCTGCTTCTTATGAGGGTGTTTTGAGAAAGCCAAAACTATAGCAGAAAAACTCCAAGGAAAGCTTCACCGGAGAGTCCCTCTCCACTGTGACGATACTTCTGTTCATTTGTCTCATCAAACGAGGACGATTTTGTGAGTTTCAGTGGGAAATCATTAGACATTCAACATACAATCCTGATTTGACTCCTTCTGACTTTTTTTTTCCCCCTAATCTTAAGAAATCTTTAAAGGATACCCATTTTTCTTCAGTTAATAAGGTAAAAAAGATTATATTGATATGGTTAAATTCCCAGGACCCTCAGTTCTTTAGGGATGCACGAAATGGCTATCACTGCTTACGAAAGTGTCTTGAACTTGTTGGAGCTTATGTTGAGAAATAAAGTTTATATTTTTATTTTTATCTTTTAATTTTTCCCATAAATTTTTTGAAGTCCCCTAATGCAGCAGTCACCAACCTTTTTGGCACCAGGGACCAGTTTCGTGGAACACCATTTTTCTACGGACAAGCGTGGGTGGAGAATGGTTTTGGGATGAAACTGTTCCATCTTAGATCATCAGGCATTAATTAGATTCTCACAAGGAGTGCACAACCTGGATCCCTCACATGGGCAGTTCACAACAGGGTTCACACTCCCGTGAGAATCTAATGCCCGCTGATCTGACAGGAGACAGAGCTCGTTCGCTTGCCTATTACCTTCTGCTGTACGGCCTGGTTCTTAATAGGCCATGGACCAGTAGCAGTCTGCTGCCTGGGGACTGGGGCCCCCTGCCCTAGTGTGTGTGTGTGTGTGTGTGTGTGTGTGTGTGTGTGTGTGTGTGTGTGTATGTGGTGAGTGCGTATTCCCCTCCCCTTCCTTACATATACTCTTACATTCTTCATTGAAACTTAACAGATATTGTGAAGTTTGCTGCAAATCTGTACAGCTGCACTATATTTCATAATATGACTGTCCCATAATTTGCCCAGCCTCTTCTGAATAGACATAATGGTGGTTTTCAGTTTTTTGCTTCCACAAACATACTTTTGCACATATGTACGAATAGGACTACAGAATCAATTCCTTAAAGTGGAATTACAGAATCAGAGGATATGTGAGTTTTCATTCTAATAGACATTGCCAAATGGTGACACTTAACTTTTGATGAGAACTGCCAAAAGTAAAGTATTTGTTCATGCCAGAAACAAGAGTGAAGATAGCATTTTATTTTAAATTTTAATACCTCAGGCAAGCAAGTAGCATATTTATTCATGAAACTCATTTGCCCCGGTCTTGCCCACCTAAAACACACACACATTGTTACGAACCCATTCAAAGCACACTTGTGACAACAGCTTACCCAATAAGGAACTTGCCAGAAGTTTCCTATCACCAAATTGTATGAGTATTTGTCGCAATGGAGTTAGCTTGCACGCTGTCTACTTTGCCCTGGCTGTGTTTACTACATTTCATGGCCCTGCTAGTAACACTGTCTTTTCTTTTGTAACCAAAGGTCAGTTTGTGACCCTGCTCCACTGCCCACCTCCTCTGCCTTAGTTTCTTCTCGCCTTAGTTTCCTCATAAGAGTAACCAGTCTTAAAGTGTCAGGGCAGGCACATTATTGATGTATCAGTGAAGAGCCCCTGGGCGCAATGGAACTTGGATTTGATTTTCTATTACCTGTGAGGGTGAGTTAGTGAACAGACAGCCTTGTACTCTGTTCAGAAGCTTCCCTTGTTGCCTTTGTAATGGAAAAAGTAGAGACCCAGAACATTCTCCCGTTTCTCTAGTGTTTACTCAACACACACTCTGTGCTACCATCGCCATTTGTGGCTTCTTTCCTATTTGCTCTTGTAACATGAGAAACAGTGTGGAGGTTTTATGCTTGTTTTGTAACCAGCTATAACCATTTCCTTTTCTCTGCCTCTGATTATAAACACATTTCCTTCCTGGTAACCATTGAAAATCTATATCTGACCAGGTTGAAACCAAATGAAGTCATTTTGGTTCCATTGGTGACAACCAATTAAATATAATTCTGTTTACATTTAGAATGGGTTGTAAATTTAAGAAAATGACTTAAGCCCTACTTAAAATATTTT